CTACAATAGTACTCATTATGCAAAAGATGTTACTCTCCAGTGGATACAGAAATATATTATGGGACCCAATTTACAAAACCAGTTGGTTCCCTTTATTGTCTAGGCTTTCCACCTTCTGGTGACGATAACAGTATACTGCCACCCAGGGAGACTTGTGAATATATTCTAGTAACAGTAAGATTTCAGGGACGTGTTTAATTTGTTATCAAAAATGCCTTACATGTACCAAAAATAATAACTTAAAGGGAGGTACAACCATCAAATGTCCACAAGTGGGAGTTTAGTTTCAGGGGGATGGCCCAGCCAAAGACTGGCAAGTTGATTTCATTCAGACGCTCCAAACCCTGGGAAATTACAGATATGTTAGTTTTCATAGGTACCTTTTTGGGGATGATAGAGGCCTATCCAAATTACTCTGAAAAAGCATCTAAAATTTTCAAGGTGCTTTCAAAGGAAATTACCCCAAGATTTGGCCTAACATAATTCAAAGTAACAATGCATCTTTATTTGTCATAGCTGTCAGTCAACAGGTGGCTTGAATACTATACATTACTTGAAAACTATACTCTTCTTGGAGACTTCAATCAACATGAAAGGCTGGGGTGAATCACACTTCAAGAAAAAATATTGTCAAAATCTGTCAAAAAACCCAACTTGGGATAAAGTAGTAGCAGCTCTGTCACAGATTAAGGTGGCTCTATGAAGTGCACTCAAATGAATCTTTTTGAAATACTGTGTATTAGGTCATTTCCCATTTCTCTCCCTGTAGAAGAACATGATGAGTTTTTAAAGGATCATTGGTAACTCAGTATGTACAAACACTGGGGACTATATTAACTTTTACCCCATGGGTTTGCTTCCAACAGGTCTGCACACCCCCACTCATGTACTACTTTATCCAGTTCAATCTGACAACAGAGTTCTTCTAAAAATCTGAAAAGAACAAGGACCAGATCAATAGTTAGTGGCAAAATGGATAGGAACACTGGAAGTATTTCTAAAGACCAATACTTCTGTCAGCCTACCCAGAGTAAAACCATGGATCCATCACACACAAGTCTGCACCCAAAAAATCTACCCATTCCACTAACAAAGATCAGATTCCTAGTCTGTCATCTCAATAGAGGACCTCAAGTACTTAAGAAAATGGTAATATTTATCCTTCTCCCTTGATGACCTTGTGGAGAATAACCCTTTCTTAAAACATCCTTTGAGGTCCTACAGGAAGGATCTTTTATAGAGTGTACAGCTAGTAGGAACATGCTGAGGGCCATTGCCAAGTAGGAATGACGCATCGAAATTTCCTTGCCAGCATACCCCATGTTAAATGGACTTGCCTTGGAAATCCGCTGTGACCTTGCATGTGTTTGAGAAAGGTGACCCTGCTCAAGGACGAGGGTGGATCCAGGTTTAAGGTGTATCCTGCAGGTTTGAGGAAGTATCCTGCTCCTTGGGTTTAGGGCGTTCCCGGTTTAAGACAATGTGGTTTTAGGGAAGTTCCAGGTTGAAGTTTATTGCTGCTGGGAATAGGGTGTTCCTGCTGCCTGGTTCCCTCTGAGTTCTCATGGAATTGAGAAAGTATTTTGGGACGTGAATTGTGCGGCAGAACTGGGATTTCCCCAGAACGTGTTTGTAGAGGCTGGTGTGAGCTCGGGAATAAAGAATTGCTGTTTGAATCTACAAGGTGTGAGTGGCTCGTGATTCTGTGCCCTGCCAAGACTGTGGCAGGAACGGAGACAATCCCATAGTAAACAGATGGGCCATCAAAAATGGAGGCCATCTCAGTATTAGGCTATATCCTCAATAAAAGGATCTTTGGTTGTGCCAAGAACAAGGGAATACCAGCTTAAGTTTAACACAGCATATCATTAAAACCCCATTACAGAACACTTGAAACATGGAGAAGGGCTAATTGTTAGGAATGAATACAAAAATCATACCATACAAAATTGTACCTCAATTTCCTTCTATGAAACATAGAATAAATGTAGCTAGCAAGAGTTCACAGAAATAAGATTACAAAGTATTTTAGTCAGCTTTTTCACTGCTGTGACTAAATGACCCAACCAGCACAACTGTAGAGGAGAAGAGTTTATTTGAGGGTTCACGGTTTCAGAGGTCTTGGTCCATAGAAGGCCGGCTCCAGGGTTCACAGTTTCAGAGGTCTTGGTCCATAGAAGGCCGGCTCCATTCCTCGGGGCTCGAGGTAAGGCTAAACATCATGGCGCGAGAGTGTGGCCGAGAGAAGCAGCTCACATCACAGTGATTAGAAAGCAGAGAGACTCCCCTCACCAGACACAAATATATACCCAAGGCCATGCCCCCAAAGCCACTCCCCAATTCCCAATTCCTCCAGCCACACCCTATCATTTCTGTTACCAGTGTTAATCCCTATCAGAAGATTAAATCATTGATTAGGTTAAAGACTCTTTCTTACAACCCAATCATTTCTCCTCTGAACCTTCTTACAATGTCTCACACATGAGCTTTTGGGGGACATCTCACATTCAAATCATAACACAAAGCGCTCTACAAGAGGCCAAATCCAATATTTCAAGGTACAAGTGGCAATTGATAAAGGAATAAAACAGATTATATAATTAGTATTCAAGTATGTACACACCTATTCTGGATTTATAGGATGGCTTGCTTGTGCATTCAGATCCTCCAACATTTCCAATTCCAGGTTAAACAGTTCCATTCCAACACTACTCATTTCACCCATCTTCAAGCAGGAAGTAGCCAGAGCTGTCACTGCCCCCTTATCAGTTAAGACGTGTAGTGGAATTTGGACAGAAGGGAAATCGTAGCTGTCTATGGTTTTCTTTGCAAGAAAAAGCCTATGCCTCCTTGAGCATGTAGCCCTCATTAATCATTTAAACTAGCCGCACAAGGTTGATTTACTGAAACTCCCCTAATCTTGCCTCACTCCTCCAAGGCTGGTGCAAATGAACAGATTACCAGCAGGTTTCATCAACCTCTTCCTAAAGATAAAAAAAGCTTAAAACCTGTGTTAACACGGTTTTTCAGAATTCTAGTTCACCGTCTTCTCCATCTTGCTGGCTTACCAAATCTTGCTCCTTACTCTAGCAACTTGTCCTGGATTTGTTAGGCCCTTTTTGAGCAGCAAATACAGACTTGGATTTGGCAACACAAGTGTTACTAATACCATCTCTATTTGGATTATGGGCCAAGAGTTCCAAATTAAACTGGTGATCGTTAGTCAAACTGAAGGCATATTGCCTAAGAAAAAAATAGTTGATTAGCTTAGCATTGCAAATTCGGTTATAAAGTGAGAATAAGCATCAAAGTGACAAAGAACCAAAAAGGGAGGTAAATCACAGGAATGTGATCAAGGAACAAGAGTCCAGGATATATACTTAAATTTATCTCAATAACTTCTCAAACTAGAGCACCATGAATGACTGATAATCCTGAATCATTAAAAAACATTGATTTACCTGTGCATTTACTTAGAATATCCAATGTCCTCAGGGGTAAGCAAGATGGGGATATCAAAAGACGTATAATAAATATTTGTTTAATTTTGTAATTAAAGGAGTGATAACACAGAATGGCTTCTACCCTCAGGAGCTTACAATGAGCTTGAAAGACAAAATTAATATAAAAGAAAGTTAATTATTAAGTATTTTATTTAAGTATAGTATATTTGCCAAGTCAGGACAGCAGTAGGATTTACTTTATACATACTTCCATTCCAAAAGCTTGGAAAAATATATCAGTAATGTAAGCTATAACTCTTGAATATCCAGAATAGTCTTCTGATAATGCAAGCATAAATAAGTTATCTTCTTCACACAAATTATCCCCCCAAAGTAATTTATAACATGTAATTCTATCTCTAAAAAACAGTTACAATCCCTCTTAAATTGAATACGAATAAACGTGTGAAAGGAGCACAAGTTTTAAAACTTCAATGCAAAATTTTAATACATTGGTTTTAACCATTATCCTTTCTTTTTTATTTTTAAATGCTACACATGGGCTGGATTGTAGGTTCCAAGAGTCATAACAACTATAGACCATTCTGTTGGTTAATAATTCATTAAAGTTCTCGAATCTCTGACTGTAAGGCAGTAATTGGGAACTGATTTCAGAAACAGAATGCAAGTACTGAATTACAAATTCTACCAGGTCAGCTAAAGTAGGTGGAGAATTCACCTAAGATGGAAGAGTGAAGGTTTATTTTACCCATTTCAAGACTTCTCCACATATTTTGCCAGTTTGAAATAGGCTAGGGGAGGGTGAGAATAGTTTAAAAAGTGTATTTCTTATTTTAATGTGTAAATACACATCCTTAAAGGTTAAGCCTATCTCTAACCTGTCATCAGTTCAGTGAAATACACTGCTTTCTTCTTAATCATTGGTGACTTCAGAACATGATTGTCCACTGAGAGGAACTAAAGCCTGAATACAAAGCAATTATGAAATGCAGGCAGCCAAAGGCCAGTAGGTGGGACAGCAGAAGTACGTACTCTGGCCGCACAAACTCTCCCAGCTTAAAAGCATCATATCTATAACTATCCTGAGTGCTACATTTCCTATATGTGCCTGGAATTATGAACACCTGATATATTCTGTATTCTACATTTAGTAGACAATTTGTTCAATAATACTAACTTGACTTACACTTTTCTTTCTCATATTCTGAACAGGTAAATCTAAGTAAAAAAGAAAACTATTTGAAAGATAAATTAAGAATAATTTTTGGGCTGGGGATGTAAAGTGCTTGCCTTGCATGCACAAGGCCCTGGGTTCAATCCCAGCACCACAAAAAAAAAAAAAAAAAAAAGAATTTTTAAGAGGCTGGGGTTGTGGCTCAGTGGTAGAGTGCTTGCCTAGCATGTGTGAGGCACTGGGTTCAATCCTAAGCACCACATAAAAAAATAAACAAACAAATAAAATAAAGTAACTTTTTTAAAACAAGAATAATCTTTAAGGAATCAGGAATCTTGATTTAGACCATAAATGACTTAAAATACTATTACTCTGAATTTATTAGTACATCTTAATCATTTTTTGCACTAATTTTCAACATAATTCTTAGATAATATTCACCTATTTTAAAAAAGCTATTAGATAATTATGACAATTACTCTGGAATGCAACATTTAAAACATTTTGAAAAATGATAAATAAAAACATGAACCTAGTGACACTGAAATCTGCATTATTCCCAAGAGTTCAATGCAAAAAAGATGTTACTTTATATTTTACATTCAATTCATATCTTTATCTCTATGCCCAGGCAAACACTCTGTTTCAAGACTATTGCTTTGTTTCTTGTAAAGACATTTAACTCATTGTTACTGCAAATATATTTAAAATATTTTATGATTACTTATGAGTAATTATTTATTACCTTTTATATTAGTCAGGGTTCTCTAGAGGAACAGAATCAACAGGAAGTATAATTTTAAAAGGGGGACTCATTAGGTTGGCTTACACAAACAGAAGCTGGATAGTCCACAATGGCTGTTTGCAGGCTGGAGAGCTGGAAGAACCAGTAGCTACACAGTCCAAGAAGCTGAAGCCACAGAACAAGAGGAATCAATGGTTCTATGCTAGTCTGAGATGGAAGGCTTCTGGAAATTCCCTGGAGAATCACTGGTAGAGATCACTTGGAAGAGTGAAAAAGCAAGAGAGATCCTCAGACATCACAGCAGCAATCAAGAACCCATTCAAGAAGAATCCAGTTTGCATCTGCTGTTGCTTCCTTGTTCTTCCAACTTTCATTTCATCCAAGCCTCATCCTATTGGAAGGTGCTGCCCATGCTTATGGAGGGTCTCCATTTCAGTTGGCCATCCCACATGCCAATCACTCCTTGACACACCCTTATCAACACACTCTTTAATTCTTGCATCTCTTAATCCAATCAAGTTGACAATTCAAATTGGCCATTACACCTTTCTAAAATACTAGGGTAAGGATCATTGTTATATTCACAATACAAAATGCTCATAATGTTAAGTTTCCTAAACTTCTTTTTTAATGTTTCAAGTGTACTTTATTTCTTCAATATGCCAAAGGTATAATAGGTACACAGTGCTTTTACTTGGCATCAATTATAAGTTGGCATAATTACTGATCTCTCCATTCCTTTGGGATGACTCAGCCAACAGGGGACAGGTTCCTTTCTATTCCAATTTGTGTGTCTATGTGTGTCCACACAGCTCTAATAGTTAATACCACATTACCATATTTGTCTGGAAATCAGGTGCTCTGTCTTGCCATTGTTTGCTGGATGTTCAAACTTGGAGACGGTTTAGTGCATTTTTGGCCACGAGAAACATCCAGGAACTGAAGAGAACTATGGCAACTGAAGCTGCTGGTTTGGTACAAATTTGTTCCAGGAACCCTTGTAAAAGCTTAAATTATTTTTAAGTAACTCACTATACTGAGTTTTTGTAGGTTAAAAAAAACACTGCCTAAATTCATGAAATCCATGCAGCTCATTACTGTACCAGATATTAAAACCTTAAGGACTGGTCCTCATTACCGCTGGGAATTTCTACAAAATAAGCCACTTGCACCACATTTAAATTTACAGGTTATTTTGTCCAGCTGTTCAACCAAGAGTAATACTGCTCTAAGAAATCAACTCTAAATTCATGTCTTTGTCTAATTGATACTATTTTTTCCAACCCATATAAAAAATTGATTGCCTAAACATATGTAAAACAATACAATGTTTAACTTTAGCAAATTTGCTAAAGTACTGACAACAAATCAATGTTCTGGAAATTCTTATTTTAAGTTAACTTCTAGAAAAATCAGCCTGATACAATGAAATTATTCATCACAATTATACAATATAATTTTTCCATTTTTGAGGCAAAACAAATATTATGTCCTTTACAAAATGTCTATATACTAAATTTGATATGGCCTATAAAGGTAGCTAATATAAATGATTCATACCCTTTAGATAAACCAATTGGGCACACATTGTTCTTTTCAAACATTTATATAAAGAAGGAAATCAACATTGGTAGCATCAGTAGGTTTGATTAGCAAGTGTCACCAGGTAGTATGATTGTCTAATCAATAGCTAAAGTGTGACTTGATTCTAATCACCATTATAACTGAACAATCTCTAAATTATACCACAAGTTGTAACCCTCCATCCACTACTAGAACATGTCCTGTAATATATGGTGATTCTAAAAGAAACACAATTGCGTGTGCCACCTCAATGGTTTCTCCAAACCTTCCAAGAGGAATGCTTTTCTTTAACTGTTCTTCTTTCAGGTCTTTCGTCATATCTGTGTGAACAAATCCTAAAACAGAAGTGATCATTCAGAAACTATTCAAATTATACTGTTTTATTGTGTGCAGCACATATGAATATATTATAACAAATCCCACTGTTATGTATAGTTATAATAAGCCAATAAAAATGATTATTCAGTAGAAGAGAGGAGACACTAAGATATTTGCTCAATTTTGAAAAAATGAATTTGCACCTGAAAATGAGATGAATAAACCTTGTTTTGGAGATACAGTTTTGCTATCAAATAAACAATCTACAATTTTACTCACTTTAACTCAATGAACATTTACTGAACACTAAAATATATGATCTCCAAGTATATGACCAAACTCTTAGCAAAATGTAAAGACAAGCTCATATAATGTCATAGGTGGATACAGACATGAATAAAACAAAATTCCATTCCTTTGGAAACCTATAATTCATGGAGGAAACAATAACTTATATACACAATTATGCTGTAAGGAAGTCTGGTGAATATCCTTATAGTGGTATAAATAAAAGGCCACAGAAATGATTAAATTTCACTTGAGTGGGAATAAAAGAGTGAGAAGTTGTGTTGAAGGAAGACAGGCATCACAAAAAATGGTCACATGAACCAATTTGGCAATTCTGATAAGAACTAGTCAGTTCCATTTGCTATGGCCAAGATAACTGATGATTAGAAAGTCCAAAGTTTCCAATACATGTATAAGAACAAAATCTGGTAGTCATATCCAATTCCAATGTGATTATACACACAAAAATCAAAATTTAAATTGGTATTGGTATAGGTATGCAATAAAGCTTGCAGAGAACATTTAAAATATATTTATATTTATATTTATATTTATATTTAAAATATAAAGTTCCACAGTATAAAGTACTATTAAGCAACCAATTTTAAATGATAACTGATATATTAAGGAAAAAACATAGATTTGTTAAGAAAATATAAGATTAATCTGAGACATACAACTACATGTTACTAATAAAATGCTTAACCCACAATCAATATTTTATATAGTACTCAATCTTTCAGGTTTTTAAAAAGAAAGTAAATATTAATCTACATGAAAACAACAGTAGTTAGTAGTAGTTAGGTCACAAAAACTAGATGGACTAAAAATTAGATGTGCTACATGATTGTTCAGTGTGCAATCTTAAAAATATAGTTTTCAAATTGGCTTATGTTAAAATAAACATACATAAAATCAACCTAAATATAATTGTCATTGAAAGTACCATAATAAATGTGAATTAAATACTGTCTTAAGAATCAATTAGGCCACTAGTTTATTATACAGACCTATGAAATTTACTTTAGGTTTTAACTTAAAAATAGCTAATATTTTCTTAAAAGTGTTGTAAGAAATAATCATAGATTTACTATCATGAAGTCTATGACAGTGTCAGATTATTAGGGAAAACCTAGAAACAAGCTGACAACAAACTAGTTAAATAAACCATTATATCCACATAATAGAAAAATATGCAGGTATTAACAAATGATGCTATAGAATAATATAAAATGAATGGAAATTGTATATTTAAAGGAAATCATACATGAACTCAGTTATATCACTATTAAAAACAAAAGCCAGGCACAGTGGCACACACCTGCAATCCCAGAGGCTTGGGAGGATAAGGCAGGAGGATCTCAAGTTCAGAGCCAGCCTCAGCATCTTAGTGAGACCCTAAGCACCTTAGCAAGATGGTGTCTCAAAATAAAATATAAAAAGGACTGGGAATGTGGCTCAGTGGTTATATGTTCCTAGGTTCAATTGGTACCCCCCCCCAAAAAATCTAATATATACTATTAACTAAGAAACCATGTGCCAAAATAGTGGTTATCATTAGATATCAGAATTACAAGTGAGGAGTATTTTCTTTGTACTTTTGGGTTTTTTTCAAGTTGTCCACAAAAATACATATTATTTTTGCATTCATACAAAAAGCTTTCAAATAGCAAGGTACAGTGCTGCATGCCTATAGTCTCAGCCACCCAGGAGGCTACGGCAAGAGGATTGCTTGAATCCAGGAGTTCAAGACCAGCCTAAGTGACACACCCTGTCTCAAAAACAGTTATGAAAAAAATATATGTACACAATACTAATTTCAGATGGTCTGTAATAAGGGCCAAAAATAACAAAACTAATTTAGTATTATTTTGTGTTTCAGTGAGAGATTGTATTATGGAATAAAAAACTCTTCTGCCACAAAATTTCATCACATGTATTTAAAAAGTTAGCAATATTACTTTCATTTCTTTCATCAAGAACAATGAAAGAAAGGAAGAATAAAAGGAGAAGCAGAGCCAGGCACAATGGTAAACGCCTGTAATCCCAGCAGCTCAGGAGGCTGAGACAGAAGGATTGCGAGTTCAAAGCCAGCCTCAGCAATGGTGAGGCACTAAACAACTCGAAATAAAATACAAAATAGGGCTGGGATGTGGCTCTGTGGTCAAGTGCCCCTGAGTTCAAACCCCAGTACCAGAAAAACAAAAGGGGGGGGGAACAGTTGACACAGCTAATAATTAGCCTCTGCAGAATTTCAAGGGAACTGTAAATGAAAATTAATTTACAGTGAAGAGTCATAACAAACAATATGCCATCCAATCATGTTAAGAACACTATGATGAGGCTCTTGATATCCAAAGTTTTCAGTGTTTGAACACACTCACTTTCCAAGGTGCCTCTCCCTGACTTGTGAACAGATAGTATCTTAGAAAGAAAACTCACATTTATTGAATAAATTCAAATTATGAATAAAAATAAAAAGTTTATCTACTTTTCTTAAAATTTTGATACAGTTATCCTTCAGTCTAAGGTCTTTTTGAATTCTAATAAAATTGGCATAGAATACTTCCCAGCAACTACAAACTCTCAGCAGAAAAATCAATTGTATGTTTTAACCTAACATGAACAGTAGAAATGATTTGCAAGAAAGATCTTATGAACACAGGTTAGCAAATTCCAGCTTCAACTTCTAACTGGCTCTGGTAGCATTTTGTCAAAAGCAGCATTTTGTGGTAAAAAGGCCAATGGATTAGGACACATTAAGCAAGATTCTGTTCCACAGTATGAAAACTATGGCCTGAGAAAGTTATGTATTGTCTAAAATGTATGGCTGTTTTCTGTGCCCTAATGAATGAAGTCAATTAAAACTAACAGATCTCTGAGCTTTCTTTTAGCTCTACTACTCTGACTGAAAGATGAAAAGTATGCGTCATTAAGCAGTTTTCATGACTTGCTAACTTTACTTGAATTTTAGGAAACTGAGCTCCCCTAAAAGGACCCTCAGTTCTTGACACTATTAGGTGTACAGCAGTTAGAACAGTTCCAACTCAAAAAGAACAAATGCTAATCTGAGTTTTCATCTATGCTGTCCTGAAAGGAACTGATCTGCTCTGCTTCTTAGTGAACATAAGTTCTGATGTTTGTCCTTTTGGAAACGAACAGTAAGTCCACACAACCTATGACAGGCCATTTGAAGGAGTTTCTACCTTGAAAATAAGCATATCTCGAACAAGGAATGAGGAACTGCAGGCAAACTTTACACAAAGAGGCTTAGGCAATGAGACAAGTTCATGGACAATCCCAGTGAAATGGAAAGATGATCTCTTCAACACAGACTGTGGTTCTCAAAAACAATTACACAAGCAAAATACAGAGAACAGCTAAAGGATGACAGCTTAAATCCTTGAATAAGGTCTTGAAACTTTGAATGAGGTCTTTTAGTAGTCTACATTCAGTCGCAAATCACAGATACAGTCTGTGTCTATTTAGGTGAGATCTCTAAATAGGAGTGGTACTCTCAGTCCAGCATGATTACAAGTTCAGAACTGAAATCATGGTGTTCAGCCACCCACATCATAGGAAGATTCTCCCTGCACTTATTCAAGCATGGAAGATAAGAATGTTATTTCATTAGCGGAAACTAACCACAGCTTCTACTCACCTATGCACAAATACGTGAAATAACAAATCTTGTAGGATAGCTGCTAACCATCAATGAACACTGTAATAAAAATCTAGAAGTAGTCAGGAACAATGGCACACGCCTATGATCCCCAGCAGCTCAGGAGGCTGAGGAAGGAGGATCACAAGTTCAAAGCCAGCCTCAGCAACTTAGCGAGGCCCTAAACAAGTTAGTGAGATTCTGTCTCAAAATAAAAAATGAAAAAGGCTGGGGACCTGACTCAATGGTTAAGCACCCCTGGGTTCACTCTCAATACCAAAAAGAAGTCTAAAAGTAAAGTGGGTAAGTAAAGAGAGGCCAACTTGATAGGAAGGGATAAATCCATACATCAATACATACTGGGTTTTCCCTCTTAGATTATTTTTGATATAAAGGACAAGAACATGTCAAGACCTTCTTTCATCATTATTGACAGCCTTTTCTAAATAATAGACTTTATTTTAGAACAACTGTAGGCTTATAAAAAAACTGAGCAGAAAGGACAGGATATCTATAAACCCCCTTATCACACTGCCCTCCCCAATTTCCCCTATTATTAACATCTTACCTTAGTGTTAATTGAACCAACTAGTTGAACCAATATTAGATAAGTAAAATCCATAGTTTTACTTCTGGGTTCACTTCTTAGGTTATACAGTTCTACAGGCTTTGATAAATGCATGTCATGATATCCACCATTATAGTATCATACAGAATAGTTTCACTAAAAGCCCTAATCTATCTGCAGCTTTTTAACGTCATTTATCTATCCCAGCCCATCTGAAATAAAAGCAAAAATGTGAAGCTAGTCTCTAATGATAAGTTACTCTGGGCTCTACCTACCAAATATGACAAGGTAGACCATGGTTGGAGGAAGTAGGTAAACAGGAGTGCGCCTTAAGGGCTTATATTTTGTCCTTAGCGAGCAGAGCTCACTCTCCTTCTGGTTACCTATCCTGAATTGCTTTCCTCTGCCACTCCCTTTTACCATAGTGTTCTGCCTCACCTTCAATACATCATTTTATACTGAACTCATAAACTATGATCCTCACTCATAAACATATTCACAACCTAAGACATGATATAAAAGAAACTTCCTGGGTTCTATACCACATACACAGGCCTGAGGAGAGATAGGAGTAGTCCTTAAACATCCCACACATCTATCTTTGTGCTTGTATCACTTTCTAGTTCATGCTTTCTTTCTGTGCACCAAAAGACTCTCTCCAATCTTTCACTTTTAATTTGTAAAATTCTAGGAATTTTGTTATACTCCCCCTTTTCCAAGGCAAATACTACAGTGACTTTCAAGCCGAGCTATAAAAAGTATACACTACCAGTAGGTGCCACTGTCCAACAAATGACATTGCTGCATTACTTTACTGAACAGTTAAAATTTCCAACTGGCTACAAAACAATATTCCTTAAATCAGTAAATTGATAAATGAAATGACAGGCCTTCAACCAACTAAGAACATTTCCATTTTAGTACTATAGATTTAATGATATACCTAATACACCTTTGCAGGGTGCTGGGGATTGTGCACAGGCTTTGCACATGATAGCCAAGTGCTCTAATACTGAGCCACACTCCCTACACCAAACTTTTTTCAACATGAACTCTTCAGGAAGAGGACTACTGTTGCTCATAAAAACTGCATGGCTCTTGTCCAATGAGAATTTACATTTCATAAATTCTGAAGGAAACATATTTCATACATCCACTTCTGACTAGCCACATAGCATAAATAAACAGCAACATCTCATTTCCATATTACTAAGTCACTATTTCAGTTTTTGACATGTTTATACACAACAAACTTTATATTTAAATTAGATACCAGGATTTTATCTATCACCAGTATAGTCTGAGTGCCCTCATCAGAAATAGTTAGAGCCAGTGACGACAGGCACCATGACACAACCCTGAAATCCCAGCTACTCAGAGGCTTAGGCAGGAGGAAGCAGGTTGGAGGCCAGCCTCAGCTACTTAGTGAGTCCTTGAATGCCACATAAAAAAATTAAAAGGGTTGGGGATATAGTTCAGTGGTAGAGCACCCTACCCCAGAGTACTGAGGGGAAAAAAAAACACTTCAGACCAGAAGTATCCCAAATTTTAGATTTCTTCAGATTTGGGAATCTTTGCACAAATGTGAGACACCCTGGGAATGGGCCTCAAGTTTAAACAAGAAATTTGTTTCATATATACCTCATACACATCATGTAATAATTTTATAAAATGTTTTTGGTGCACTCATACTTTGACTGCAACTGATCAAACGACATTGTGTGGAACTTTTCCACCATTTCACACTCAAAAAAGTTTTAAATTTTGGAGCACTTCAAATTTTCAGATTAGGATCCATAACCCATATTATCAAATGTGGGATGTGGCACTATATAACAGACCTAAAAGTTCAGATGTCCATTCTCTGCTGTAAGTTTCTAGGATCTGAGAAGAACTCAACCCTAGACACTTCTATAAGGAAGAAGAAACAAGAGTCTTGCCAAAAACTAGATCAAGATTTTAACCAGAACAGGGCTAGGGCTATAGCTCAGTTGGTAGAGTGCTTGCCTAGCACGTGTGAGGCACTGGGTTTGATCCTTAGCACCACATAAAAATGAAATAAAGGTACTGTGTCCATCTGCTATAAAAAACATTTTTAAAAGATTTTAACCAGAACAAATTTGCATGTCTTACTGTTATGCTTATGGGTGGAACAGTGTAAGAAATAGCACCTAAGAGCACCCAGAGTAACACCTGCTCTGAGCAGACGTCATGCTTATGCATGTGCTTGTCAACAAGATCATCTCTAAGTGGTAAATACAAAAGCTCTCCAACTTAAAAAATAACCGTAGCAAAACACTTAAGCACCCTATAGAAATAAATTCAATGTATCATTACTTGTCAAATTAAAAAGGCATAGATCCTCCAAGCCTTGGCAATTCTATTTTCCAGATTACAATCATTCACTTGCAAATATGCAAGATAAATTATGCCCAAGTATTGTCACTGCATTTTTAGTTGTAACAGAAAAAGATCAGAAGCAACCTAAATGTCCATCAAGTGGCAATAGGTTAAACAAGATAGGTATATCCCCTAAAACATTATTAGGGTACACCTAATTAAAAACAGACACTATGATCTTTTAGTTCAGCCATTAAAAGTGATGATGCAGCAATCACAAAATTCCAACTATTTTAAGATTCCATGTATACAAAATGTCCCAAATAGGGTAATCTATAGAGATAGAAAGTAGTTTAAGATTGCAAGGAGCTAGGGAAACTGGAGAGAAATGGGGACTAAGGGGCAAAGTATTTCCTTGGGGATTATGCAAATGTTCTAAAATTTATTTAGGTAATAATTGAACAGCTATGCGACCATCTTAAAACCACAAAGTTGTACACATAAAAATGAGTGAAGTGTATGGGACATGACTTACATTTCCATAAAACAAGAACATGTGACTAGTATAATACAATTTGTTTTTAGACACACACACACACACACACACACTTATTGGCTTATACATGAAATACAGAAGAAACTAGTAACAGTGGTGATCTTAAGGAAAAAAATTATGTCTAGACAAGACTGACTCACTTTTCACTCTATGCCTTTCTGTATTACTAAATCTTGTACAATATGTACAAATTATTTTAAACATTTTTAAATAATGTATCTATTACAGGTTTAATTTATGAAGTATTCTGTTTCCCATACTTAATATTTTCCAACTAGTAAGATTTATCCATGATGAGTTTATTTTATAAAGTAATATCAAAGTTTAGAAAGTACTTATCTTTAAAACAGTCAATAATATTGGGAAATGAATAATGTCATAATTTATTACTTTCCTTGTTCCTTGGTTTTCTTGTTATAATCTGCTTTTTAACTATTTCCATACTTACTACCTGGAACCTCCATTTTAAGGTGCCCAGGAAAAATATTTCTTTTTATATCAGCTAACTCTTACATTTGTTAGCTCTGTTAAAAGATTTGCTAAGGAATCTGGTTGAAATTACTATGTAAATAAGGTTAATAATCCATGGAATTGATTCATTCTATTTCAATTTGTACTTTGCCTGTGACCAACGAAGCATATTTATACTACAAAATCTGCTAGATAATATTTAACCAATATAATGTAATAAAGGTCACCCTATTAAAATGACCACATTTTTAGCAACAGGTTTATATCCACAGTATTAACTGCACTGGAAAGTAAGTTAAGAAAGGGTATACCACACTTCCCTAACACTCTTTGTATACAAACTGGATTCCCACTAGTTAGCCTATTGTCTTGACAATTAATTCACTCTAGACAAAATTAAACCATCCTTCTTCAGCATTTCCACTGCACCATACACATATCTTTACTTTCAGTTCATCACAATGTTGTAATTATTTGTTTATATGTCTGTCTTTCCCAAGATGCCTAGCTCCCTGTGATGGAAATACTTATCTTTGAAACTTCAGGAACTAACACAGCCCCTGCACACAGGAAGCCACTTCAGGAAGTTTGCTGCATGAGTTATTGTGACTTAGAAACACTTGCATTACCCCTACACTATACAGCTTTTAAAATATCATGAAGCAGAATTCACTTTTCACTGCCTACACTATTTACAATCCTGAAAAGAAGCAGATATATGTAGTTGCAAATCAAAAATAATTTATACCACAGATGATTATCTAAGCTAATACTAAAATCAATCAGCTCACGTAAAGCACACACAAATAAAAAGCAATGCCAACATAATGAAATAAAAATGCAGCTTTTGGAATTTTTTCAAAAACTGGGTGCATCTGAATTATAGTCAGTTATCAAATGTTCATGGATTTGGAATGTCTGAATTTAGCAAGTCTTTGTGCCTAAACAATGAACTAGGATAAAGGACACTAAAAGGATTAACAGGTCATTTTGATAAATCAGGGATACCTGCTGCTCAACATCAAATGTCAAATAAAACGCCAACTCTAGGGTCAAAGCTGGGGCCATTAGTGACTGCAAAGGAAAAGATCTGCTGCAGCCCACTTTTTCTTACAAACAACAAATGACCCAAAATAAACTTTTTTACATAAGTAATGAATTCTTAAATATTTATAGAAAACTAAGACAAAGATTTCAAGGCTAACTGGCAAAGGTATATGAAAACACTCCATTTATTCAAATAAACACTTAACAAAAATCTAGCATGACAGCTAATAAGTGATAACGTGGATCTGAGTTTTAACACCTTTTTACTATACTCTTCACTAATCTAGGCAATTTTATTAATTAGTAACTTAACAAAATATAAAGGTAAAAGTAAAAAATTGGAATGGTCCAGGTAATTTATGTAGACATAGTAGCAAAATAACTTCAATTTTTTAATATCATAAGGGAAATCTTAGGGGGCTTTAAAGTTTTCCATAAATTAGTAAGGCAATTAGGTAAGTCACTCCAAATCTTAGGCTCAGTTTTATAAACTATAAAACTGCCTAGAATAAGTGATCGCTAAGATCCTCTTTACCTTAAGTTGTTCCATAATTAGTATAATTTTTTTAAAATACATATTTTAAATAAAATATGAAATATAAGGATTTTTTTTCTTGTCACCAATTCGTTACTTGATTCTTTTCACAATCATCTCAAAACCACTCTACCCAGATGGCAATCAATCACTACTCATAGATGGACAAATTAATGGCTTCTCTAGAAAACAAAAATAATAAAGTTATTTTAATAAAATGTTTTGGGGGTAGGGTTGTGGTTCAGTGGTAGAGTACTAGCATGTGTGAGGTACTGGGTTTGATCCTCAGCATCACATAAAAGTAAATAAAATAAAGATATTGTATCCATCTACAACTAAAAAAAAAAAATTTTTTTTAATAAATAAATGAAAAGTTTTTACTGACCTGGTGCAACTACATTCACTCTAATTTTCTTTCGTGCTACCTCTTTAGCAAGTGCACGTGAAAATCCAACCAATCCTCCTTTACTGGCACTATACACAGACTGGCCAGAATTGCCTTTTAAACCGATAATACTTCCTAGAAGAAAAGAAATTAAGCAAATTCAAACTAATTCACAGGAATTATATAAAAAATTCAGATAATTTATAGTAAACAAATAAAAAAGGTAAAACCCATTTTACCTTATCCTTTACTCACATTAGTAATTCTACCCACTGTCATTTGAGTAGTAAGACTTTAAGAATCCAAGTATGCTCCAGACAAACACAGAAAACAAGATCAGAATGAAGCTGGTGTAAAACCACAAGTGCCAAGTAGGAGGCTTGCAAGCCAATCTAGAATGCAGAGCATTCCAATCTCTGAGTAGGTCAGCTATAATGAAAATTCTGTGGCTTATAATGGCTTCTAGTAGGAAGAGGTTGAAGCCAGAAAAAGTCTAATTAATTTTACCTTTCTACAACTAGACGTAAGGAAATACTTACTTCTACCTAAATCCATCTGAAGATAAATCTCACTAAATTAGAACTACAGTTGATCTAAACTTACCAGTTCCACTTCAATTATAACTTTTCATAAATGTGCAATTTTGTTGCTTTCAGTGATATAACTTGTATTGCCTACTAAAGATTCTTAGGTGTGGGAGACCAACCTTGCACATGACTGGGTCACACTCCCCGGCTGGGTGCTGAGGCGCTCAGACACAGAAATGTGGCAGAGCTTTCCCCACCTTTCTTGGGTTCGAGGGTCGGTGTCTCGTGCATGGGTGTGTCTTGCTACAGCCCCATGGGTGAAGCTATGCTCACCTGTTCCTTTGTAATATAACCCCTTTCCCTCTTTAGGATAGAATCTTCCATGAAAGTGCCGTGTGTATCCCCTTCTCTTACTGTGCCCTAGGGTGTGGCCTACCCAGTTATCAGTCAACCTGCTGACAGTGGACATCATGAGGACAGACTCAGCCCCCTGAAACCTGACACCTTGCCTCATTTGAATAGCTTCTCCTCAATAAAAGGGGTCAGCATATGCTCCTGCTCTCTCTTCCTGCTGACCCTTAAGGTCAGAGGAGTTGTCACAGCGACCCCAAAGAAAAAGGTATTTGTGTCTCTTGTGTGGTTATTTTACGCAGCCCAGTCAGCCCAATTCAACTGGAGTGACCCCTGAGCCTTTTAGTCTGGAGAACAGAAACCCGGCACTCAGGTGACTTCATTTAAAGAATATGTAATTTATATTTATATAAGTCATAAATTATATTATTTATAATTCAAAATATCAGCTATATGCAAATAATTGTTTGCAAAACAGAAGTAGGGAAGTAATTTTCTGCACCACTGACCTGTATTTATGATACAAAAATTAAATAAGCTCACAAAAATTTTTAAGTAATTTTACTTTAGAAAAAGAAAACATCACCAGGGGCAGTGGTGCATGCCTATAATCCCAGTGGCGCAGGAGGATCCTGAGTTCAAAGCCAGCCTCAGCAACTTAGTGAGGCCCTAAGCAACTCAGCAGGACCCTGTCTCTAAAGAAAATGTTAAAAAGGGCTAAGGATGGGGCTGGAGATGTGGCTCAAGCAGTCGCGCGCTTGCCTGGCATGCATGCGGCCCAGGTTTGATCCTCAGCACCACATACAAAACAAAGATGTTGTGTTCGCCGATAACTAAAAAATAAAATTCATTCTCTCTTTCTCTCTCTCTCTCTCTCTCTCTCTTTAAAAAAAAAAAGGGTGGGGGGCTAAGGATGTGACTCAGTTGTTATGAGCCTCTGGATTCAATAGCTGGTACCCAAAAGAAAGAAAGAAAAAATCTACTTTTTCGATTATAATCAAATCCAATATTAAAAATTTACCTACATTATACAGTCATGCATCGCTTAATGACACATACAGATTAACCACTGTTAGGTGATTTCATAGTCATGCAAACATCACAGAGATCACTTACACAAAATAAGATGGTAGAGTCTACTACACACCCCAAGCTACATGGTATAGTCTATTGCTCCTAAGCTACAAACCTGTACAGCATGTTACTGTCCTGGATACGGCAGGCAATTGTAAAGTATTTGTGTAATAGTATTTTGTGTATTTAAACATATCTAAAGATAGAAAATGCAAAGTAAAAATACCAGGAAATATGAATTTTTCACTTCCAGTTATGGTTTGGATATAAAGTGTCCCCTGAAAAGCTCATGTTAGACAATGCAAGAATGTTCAAAGGTCTGAAAGTGTGTCACTTTAACTTCTGCAAATTTATGCAACTACTACAATAATTGTTGTTTACTACCCAGTGTCCACAATTTTTTTTAATTCTTTGTCCATATTTTTAAAATTAAGCTTCACATAAAAATTTAAATTAGGCTTTGCATAAAAATTAGGATGCCCAATTTCTCTTGAAAAATCAAAATTATTAGCAAAACTGGAACCACATTCATGCACACCAAAAATCGACTAGATCTGAACACCAACTGAACCTAAATGTCTTCTGTCATTTATCACATGACCTCTACTGCCATTCTCTAATACTTGGTGGTCAACATCCGCCTGTCCCATCAGGATGTGAATTTGTGATTCCTGTTTTACTCATTGATTAGCTAATTAAATCTTTTCCAACAGATAATACAAAGATAAATTTCATAAGTGAAAGTTACAAATTAGTGGATTAAATATGCTTATGGTAATACACAATAATTATAAACCCACAAAGATAAAAACTCACCTACATTAACAATAGACCCTCCCTGTTGTTGAATCATAGTCCTCATGGCAGCTTTACAAGTCAGCATAGAACCCAAGAGATTAGTATTAAGTTGAGATATCATATCTTCGGTTTTTGTTCTTACTAAAAGACTATCCCTACAAAAAATAAACAGCATGTAAATTAATAACAATTTTTTTAAGTCAAGACATAGGTAACATTTTAATGGAAAGAGTGTAAGACATTCTTCGTATCTGAGATAGAATGCCTAGAGGGTATTATTTTGACCTTGGCTTGTGAGCCACTAAAATAAATCATAAGCTTTTAGAAAGGATCCACTTGGAAGGTAGTTCCTACCAATTTCAGTTAAAGTGACAAACATTCCAAATTGCTAAAAGTAGTACCATGTAGCCAAAATATTTTGAATAGCCTAAGCAATTGCCATACTAAGCCTTGTTTAGCAAGACAATTAGTATATTAGTATATTATCTAAATTCATCTATTTTTTATAAAAGAATGCCTACCCTATAATTCCATCAGTTCATATACTCCCCCCACAAAAAAAAATACACATATACACATACACACACATACACACACACACACACACACACACACACACACACGGTGACAGAATTCAGAATACTGGTTAGCTATGAGGAAGTATTGAGAAGAAACAGCCTTTAAAGTTATAGAAACATTCAATAGCTCAATATTGATGAGGATTAAAATATTAAAACTGATCAAACTAGGCACTTATTTCAATATGAAAGAAAAGAATTCATGGAAAAGTTTTAAAACACACACTTTTTCTTACAAGTAAAACAACTTTACTAATACATTAACTGATACTAATCAAAAGCCTAAATGGGTTAAAAAAAAACTTAGAAATTTACTTAAATCTATGACCAACCTGTTAATACCAGCTGCATTTACCAAAAAATTTACTTGACCTAAATGTTTCTCCATCTCTTCAAATGTATTTTGAACATCATGTTCTTTAGCAACATCACAGCTAAATGCTAAATGATTTCCTACAAAACAAAGTTACATTAGAATTAATTATAATGTAAATTTTGAATCTACACAGTACACATTTGTTAAGCCCCTACTACATGGTAGGCTTGTGCTAACCCTAGAGATAAAAGATAAGTATTTCATAGGTTCCTGCTCTCACTTGTCAAATTAAACTGGGATGGGGTGGGCAGGGAACAAGAAAGTAAAATAACAAAAGTTTATTTGGAAACTTTGGAAAGTTTTGTTGTTTTTTTATAAGGCACAGTTGCACACACCTGTAATCACAGTCATTCTGGAAGCTGAGGAAGATAGATTGAGCCCAGGAGTTCAAGGCTAGCCTGGGAAACAAAGAAAACTTGGCTTTTTTTTTTTTTTTTAACTGCGATTGAACCCAGGGCCACTGTACCTCTTTCCATGCCCATCCCTTTTTTATAAGGCACAGTTGCACACACCTGTAATCAC